AGCTAGTCATCATCACCCACCGCCAACTCTTGGGCTACTCTTTTACCAACGAATAGTGGGATTGACCGTCACATTATAACGCCCCCACGGCTGAAAGGGCGAGCATGTTTGGTGTGAGAGGGATTCGAACCCGCGACCCTCAGATTACGAGTCGAATGCCTTAACCACCTGGCCATGCCGGGCTACAAGTAAAGTAAAATAAAGCACACTTAATTATTTATGTTCTTAAAAAGAGTTAAAAGATTTCTAGTAGGAAATTATATATATACGGTATTGCGTAGAATTATTGCAAGAATGAATAAAGTGTGTGTAAAAAGGAAATATTGTGAAACTGATCCCAAGCTACAGCGTGAAAATTAACTTCAGAGTACAATCACGTGATGACAGTTTAAGTTGTGATTGATTTTCATCCAACCAGTCAAGCATTACCACGCCAAAATAATGCATGTAAAAGTACAGGCAGTCAGACTATTCCCAATAGTAGTGTGGTATACACTAGTAGTGTTAAGAAACTCAGGGTATGTCCTTTACGTGATATACGACAATTCAGTAACGATCTTGCCAATGACCTAAATGTAAGTACAAGTGCAAATGCTTCCTCTAGAGCAGTAAGATACACATTAGCATAGAGTGGGCACGATGAATATGTACATGCTTAAAAAACACTTCTTAGGAGAGAAAACCAAACCAAAACACTGAAATGGGCATCAGACTTCAAACATGGGAATAAGCAAAGCTGTCAGAGGGCGCTCTTTAAGATCAATCCAAACTGAAATTGTTTAGTAGCAGTCAGCAACCGTTTGTTCTGTAGCAAAGGGGAAAATGGTATCACAATCAACGTATAACATTTAAAATAAGTATACTTGGGGACTAATACATCTGTCGGAGATCTACATAAAATTGATGGCACACTGACTGTTGACAGGTAAACAGATTCGTAACATTCATGTCATTTACTTAGGAACAAGACCTGTTAGGAAGGGATTTGTCTTCCATAAAAACAATTATCTCAGGTATACAACAAATGTGGTAAAACAATGTTTGAAAGAACATTCACAACACTGTTAAGGCCTACACAAATTCCAAGTATAAATATTATTAAAGATATATGGGGTTTTATGGACTATGAAAACCAATCAAAGAACTGCATTGTGGAGGGAAATATAAGACATTTAGACAGTATCCACAATGGTAAAATAAAGTAGCATAAAAAGTATTTTTATATTTAAAGCAAATAGAAAATAAGAGTATATTGTACAACGTATTAATTTTCCTTTTGTATTTTCTCTAATAATGTATTGTACTACTAATAAAATGACCATGTAGTTGCAACTACACATTGTATGTGACTCTTGTATTTTGTCATATGTGATTTCCATAATTATTTCCAGTAATGTATATGGCGTGGATATAAAATATGGCATAATTTATAGCTTTAACTCGTCCCACCCTCGGTGGCTAAAATTCGAGCATCAATCCATGCTATAAAAAAGCACAGATAACCTATTTTACAGTTTTTGTAAAAAAAAATCACCTCCCGAAGATAGCATGGTTGGCAACGAAACATGTAGACTATCAGATGTTTTTTTAGAACGTTGACAGCATCAGAATAGAGATCTCAAACTTTGTGTTTTTAGCAGCGGCATAGCGGCTCATAGAATGGCTCTGAGTTTTTGTTTCAAATACAAACTTTTACCTCATAGCTCCATCTCTTGATCAATTTGAGATCTAATTACAGCCACGACTATTGGGGATTCCATTTTGTTAAAACTTTGATAAGATTGTAAGTATTTAAACTATATAAGCATTTCTAAACACGCCACAGAAAAAAGGTATTCTTTAACAACATTCTACACATCAGGTAGCAGCACAAAGTAGTCACCATATGAACTTCTCTATATAACTCACAAGGTGTTTAATAACTAAACATTCTAGACATCAGGTAGCAGCACAAAGTAATCACCATGCGAATATGCCTACATAAATCACAAAGTGTACAATGACCAAATATTGTAAAGAGGAAGTAGCAAAACAAAGTAGTCACCATATGAGCGTTTCTCTGTATCTCACGAGGTGTTCAATGATTAAATGTTCTATACAGAAGCCCAAACTAGTCACCATGTGAACGTTTCTACGTACGTCACAAGGTATTCAATAACAGGAGTTGGCAACACAAAGTAGTCAACATATCAACGTTTCTACATATCTTACAAGAAGTCGATTACTATATGTTCTAGACAGGAGGTAGCAGCATAAAATAGTCACAATATCGACGTTTCAACATATCTCAAAGTGTTCAATAAAATAGTGTTTTAGACAAGAAGTAGTAGCATAAAGTGGTCACTGTACGAACGTTTCTACATATCTCACGAGGTGTTTGATAATTAGATGCTTTAAACGGGAAGTAACAGTAGAAAGTAGTCACAACCTGAACTTTTTTTTACATATTTCGCAATGTGTTCAATAAATAAATGTCTAGATAGGAGGTAGAGGCCAAAAGTACTCACCACAAGGACGTTTCTACAAATTTGACAAGGTATTAAATGACTAAATGTTATAAACAGGACGTTGCTGCATAAAGCAGTCCCCATACGAATATTTCTACATACCTCACAAGGTATTCAAAAACCAAATGTTCAAGATTGGAAGTAGCGTCACAAAGTATACACGACTCGAACGTTTTAACATACCTCACAAGGTTGTACAATAACTAATTGGTCTAGACAGGAAATAATGACACAAAAAGTCACCATATGAACGTTTCTACGTATCTCAAGTGTTCAATAACTAAATGTTCTTGGCAGGTAGTAACGGGAAATAGTAGTTACAATATGAACGTTTCGACATATTTAACAAGGTATTCAATAAGAATATGTTGTAGAAAGGAAGTAGTGGTATAAAGAAGTCTCCATGTGAATGTTTTATTTAACTTATCCCACAAGGTATTCAATAAGAATATGTTGTAGACAGGAAGTAGTGGTATAAAGAAGTCTCCATGTGAATCTTTTATTTAACTTATCCCACAAGGTATTCAATAAGAATATGTTGAGTTCAATAACTAAATATTCCAAACAGAGAGTAGAGGCACAAAGTAATCACCATGGGAACGTCTCTACATATAGCATAAATGTTATAAAAAGGAGGCAGCGACACAAAATAGTAATATCATTACCAGCGTTTCGAGATAATGTGAAATTTGTGATCAAGATAGAGATATCATATGTTTGTCATCAGACATAAACATATAACATTTATAGTAATGTATTTTGGCAGGTAATAATGAACAAACCGACGTCATAGAATGTAAACATACAATATCTACAGTGAAATAGTTCGGTTGGTAATTGAGAGTAAACCTGTCTTATAAGACACAAACGTTCAGTATTTACAGTATAGTAATTTGTCAGATAATAGTGAACAGATCCACTACATAAGATATAAACAAAATCAGATATAACAACAAATTAGCAAAACCCATAAAGACACCCAGACAAAGAGTGTTGAAGTTGAAAAAGAGCAGTCATTGTCTCTTAAGATCCGGTTTTACAACAGACAAAAACCTTGAAGTGGAAACTGTGTATCAGAAAGTGATATTTGGACTTGGTTTTTTTTTCTACTGTTTGCATGAAGCAAATATTTCCTTTCTCTTGTTATCCAGATTATTTTCCCATCATATTTGATATCCTAATCATAGTTTACTTGTTCTATTTACCAAGTGATTTTCCCCATGCTGTTCATCGTTGTGTTTTTTTATTATTTACCAGATGATGTTTCACATATTGGTCGTGGTTGTCTTCTTCTATTTACCGGATGATGTTTCACATATTGGTCGTGGTTGTCTTCTTTTATTTACCGGATGATGTTTCACATATTGGTCGTGGTTGTCTTCTTCTATTTACCGGATGATGTTTCACATATTGGTCGTGGTTATCTTCCTCTATTTACCGGATGATGTTTCACATATTGGTCGTGGTTATCTTCTTCTATTTACCGGATGATGTTTCATATGTTGGTCGTGGTTATCTTCTTCTATTTACCGGATGATGTTTCATATGTTGGTCGTGGTTATCTTCTTCTATTTACCGGATGATGTTTCACATATTGGTCGTGGTTATCTTCCTCTATTTACCGGATGATGTTTCATATGTTGGTCGTGGTTATCTTCTTCTATTTACCGGATGATGTTTCACATGTTGGTCGTGGTTGAATTCTATTATTTACCGGGTGATGCTCCATGTGGCTTCCTTCTACAAACAGATTAAACATGGCACTTGATATAGAACACTCTTCTTTCAGCTTAGGGTGCGTTACAAGGGCGACAATAACACAGAATATTCACTATACATATTTGTTACACATGACAAAAAACACGAAGTGTAATTAAAGAAAAATTTCCACTTTTCATAACAGTACATTAAATCTAATTTAATCCAACATTAATCCCTAAATGTAACAAGTTCTTAACAATAACAATAAATAATTGAAATAAAATAGACAATAAACCGTGTTGTTCGTCATAAGTGTCGTAATTCTTCGTTTTCCTTCGAACACATTGATTGCTAATATTCTGATACGAATACATGGAAATGATTGTCTACAAGTATACCATGCCTGTGAAAAATGGGGCTTTAACATCTACAAAGTAAACTTTGACATTTGTTTCCTTATTGAATATTAGATTCGACACGTCATTCCAAAGTTTCTGCATGTTAAACTACCCAATCGAAATTTGCAAAAATTCTCAGTTTATAACACCTTACTTTATTTTTATACCTGATAATACTAAATAAGTAATAAATGGATGAACACACGTAATAATAGTCCAGTGTTTCATCTTAAAATAACGACAACATTACAGGGTACCAGTCAGAGTGTTTCGGATTTGATAAAGTAAAGATTTATCAGATTAAAATATCCGGTTTGGAAATTAACTGATGAGAACAACCTTGAAAGAACCAACTGGTTAGTAAGTTAAATAGATAAATATATTAAATATATATATAACCATCACTCTATTCTTTTATACTTTGTGTCATTCCAGAGGTTTAGACAACATGAAGCAAATACTACTTTTGTTCGTGATCAGCCTTTTGTGCTGTTATCAGGGTGAGTAGCCACTCATGCTTGATGTTTCACATACTAGTACGTGGTCAGCTTTTTATGTAGTTTGAAGGCGAGTGGTTACTAATGCTTGATGTTTCAGATGTTGGTTTTGATCAGATTTTGTGTTGTTATCAGGGTGACTGGTCACTAATGCTTGATGTTTCAGATGTTGGTTTTGATCAGATTTTGTGTTGTTATCAGAGTGACTGGTCACTAATGCTTGACGTTTCACGTGTTGGTTAGTGGTCAGCTTTTTGTGTTATTATCAGACCGAGTGGTTACAAATGCTTGGTGTTCAACATTTTGGTTCGTGGTCAGCATTTTATGTTTTTATTAAGGTGAGTGGTCACTAATGCTTCATTTTTCACGTGTTAGTTTTGGTCAGTTTTTGTGTTGTTAGAAGAGCGAGCGGCCATTACGTACTGCTTGATGTTTAACACATCTTCTTTCATTTACCGAGTTATGTTTCACATGTTAGTCGTAGTTCTCTTCTTTTATTTACAGAGTGATTTTTTACATGTTAGTCGTAGTTCTCTTCTTTTATTTACAGAGTGATTTTTTACATGTTAATCGTAGTTATCTTCTTCAAATTACTGGTTGTTCTTTGTTTTCTAGTTTCCTGATAATGTTACACACGGTATGTGTTGATTTGATGCGAAGCGTCTATCTATATAAACTATACTACACTCACAAAAAACTGTAATTATATGCATTATATCGATAATGTTGGTTGAATTATTGTTTCTTCTTGTTGTTTTATCTATCATTAAAGCAGAAGATAAAATATTGACTTTATAAAACAGAAAGTAGAGTTTCTGTGGTAATTTCTAGTGAATTTCATATACTCTTTGCTTTCTAGGTGTAATGGCACTTTATTGTCCAGGAGGTAGAGATGGAGTATACCGATTCGAGTACGATTGTCATTACTACGTCCTCTGTAAAAACGGGACTCCGAATCTGATGAAATGCCCTTCAGGATTAGCCTTCAATCCTTCTCTTGGCATCTGTGTATATAGAGAATGCTGAGAGATATTAGCAGATTCTTGGAAACAGTCTTGTTCTAGTTTTGCTACAAAAAAAAAGTTTCTAATTTTTGAAGTTTTCTATTCATCTTTAAACTGGAACCTATGATATTCCAATAAACGTACAGAAACATGACTTTTCGTTAAATAAAACGTCTAATTCTAATGAATCTCATATTGAATAAACACGACAACCAATTTAAAACATTCTTCTTTTTCCCTCTTCTTTTATCTCTCACTAAAGAAATACAAAAAACAAAATATTGACTTTATAAAATAAAGTAGTTTCCTTTCTAGACACAAAGTATTCCTTACATAAATCAAATCACGTGGTACTTTCTAGGTGCACATCGTACTCAACCTCTTTATCATGTGGTACTATTTAGGTGTACATTGTACTCAACCTCTTTATCATGTGGTACTATTTAGGTGTACATTGCACTAAACCTCTATATCATGTGGTACTATTTAGGTGTACATTGCACTAAACCTCTATATCATGTGGTATTTTCTAGGTATACATTGCACTAAATTTCTATATCATGTGGTACTATCCAGTTGTAAATTGCACTAAACTTTTATATTATATGGTACTTTCTAAGTGTAAATTGCACTGTGTTTTACTGCTTGCCTTTACAAAACATTTTTTCTTATGTATAAGTAACATACGTCATAAAACATCATCGATGTCAGTCATCACAATTTTATTTAAAATGGCGACATCTTTACAGACTACCAGACCAAATGTTTCGGGTTTGATAAATATAAAGATTTGCAAGATTAAAATATCCAGTTTAGAAAGGTATCTGACAAGGACAACCCTTCAAAAGAACAGCTGATTAATTGAATAAATAGTTTAAATAGTTATCCATATGACGCTGAAACAATTTTTATAGTGGTGGAATGGAAGGGTACTAAACGAAATTGTAACCTCTCTATATCACACAATAGATTGTTTTGTTGAAACAGTCCAATAGGATATAGCCTGCATCAATATGTTTATCTATTTAAGCATAAAAATCGTTAACAACAATCCTTGCTACAATGTTTACAAGTAAAAAAAAACTTTTGAAAAAAGGAAGTAT